ACGGCGGCCACATGCATCCAGGGTGGGTGGGTGGGTGGGTGACCTAAGGTGGCTGGTACGGTACCTTGGTAGTAGATTTGCTGTTCTGTCTGGTCCTGCATGGTGGGATTGAGGTCGCCCTCATTCCAGGACACTGCCCACTCCCGCATGGTGCGCATCGAGTACCCCGTCAGCTGCTCCATCTCAGACCACTTGAGGCCGCTGTCAAGCTTGTACTACCCACACACACGGTGGCAATCAACCAATCAATCAATGGATGGATGGATGGATGGAAGACTGAATGAATGAATGAATGCAGTGTCAGTGAGTCAGTCAGTATGTTGCAGACGCCATCCACTATGAGTCAGGGGAGTGAATAAAAGGTGATCATCTCTCTCTCTCACATACACACGCACACACACACACCTACCTGGAGGACTTGTATCTTTTCATCGTCGGTTGGGTTGGGGTTGGCGTTCTGGGTCGGCAGCGACCGCCTCGGGAGCACCGCGGGGGACTGCCCACACGCAACACAACAAACAGCACACAGGGACGTACAATAACTATGAGCAAACAAACAGTCACGTGTACGTCGGTCTGTCTGTCCGTACCAGCACACCCACCCACCCGCCCACCTGCTGCTTCTGTTTGACAGACGTTGATGAGAGAATCACTCGACGGGGCGCCGCAGGCCGCCATGAGCCTGCATGTAGATCAGATCTCAAGAGTATGTTGACGCAGCCCAGTGGGTGCGGCTGCTCACTCCTGTGAGAGTATCCTGGTATTGCCTTTGGTCCCAAAAACCCCTGCGCCCTCTCATCTGCGATGCATGACAGACAGACAGGCGACAGGCAGGGCACACAAGTACACCAGCTGCACTTGTTGTGTTGTTGGACTCATTAATCACCGATAAGCAGCAGAAAGACACACACCAAATGATACATCCCTGCAGAACATGTAGGGGCAGATTCGGAAGCCGTGCGAGCTTGGAAAAGATCTGCACTCCCTTTTCTGGCGTCACGTCATCCGTCCGTCCGTGCGGCAACATCCGGGTCTATTTAACCAATGATATGATGCGTGGCGGCAATGATGATGTGGCACCCTGCTCTGCACAGGCATTTGCACCGGTGCCTGGTCCGATCAATGGTCCATGGTCGCGGAGCTTCTCGGCACGTGCACAGCAGCCGCATGGTCCTCAAGACGGCTCATGATCCGAGGTATGGTGGTGGGAGCTATAAGAGCACGGGATACAGCAAGGATGGGCGGAGGGTGGGTGGCAGCCATGGAGAGCGCAGGAGCTCCGGTGACGCCACCAGCGACTCATCATCGCACAACAGCAACAATAGTACCAGCAACCACCACGGCACTTGGAGCTCACAGCAAGACAACCAGTCGGCACGTGGCAGGTCGTCGAGCGGCACTGGGGGCGACAGCAGCGGCAGCAATAGCGGCAGCTCCGGCAGCAGGGCCACCGGCTCTCGAGGCGGCACGGCCAAGCGCAGGGAGCGGACCTATTACGATGTGTTGGGCATCCCTCGCACGGCGCGTCCGTCTCAGATAAAAGAGAGGTACCTGCAGAGGGTCAAGGAGTGTCACCCCGACCAGAACCCCAACGACCCCCGTGCCGCCGACCGCTTCCACGAGGTGCAGGAGGCGTACAAGGTCCTCAACGACAAGTGGAAGAGGAGCCAGTACGATGCCGAGATTCAGTTCACGATGGAAGATGTCAAGGCTGCTGGCAGTGCAGCACAGGGCGGAGCTGGCACCACCCAGACAATGCGCGACTATTGGCAGCACAAGTGGAGGATGGAAACCGCTGAGGAGAGGGGTCAGTCAGTACAGTCAGTCGCACACGGCATTCATCCTTGTTGCAATGACTGCATTGCAATCAACAAGAATGAATGAATGCCGGGCAGTGTCGAGAGGACGCACCGCACCATCATTGATTGGCTTGTGTTGTGCTGCAATCGATTGCAGAGGCGCGTCGCGAGCGCTACAAGAAGTACGCGGCAGGTGAGGCGGCGAGGGGTGTCACTGACTCACTGATTGACTGAGTGGGTGGGTGGGTGGATGGGTGCTTGATGAATTGGTTATTCCCCCAGGCATCAAGGACCACGTGCCCCCCGATGACGTGCACCCCATGTTCCCCGTGAGCAGCACAGCACAGCACAGCACCAAACACACGCCGTGACACACACCAACACATACATCCATCCATACTTAGATGCGTACACATACTATCATATCATATGCACGTGTACACACACAATCACCGGACGGCTTGGCTTGCATATACATATGCATCCCCACCCTGGTCTGGTGCCTGTATGTCGCAGATTGCCTACATGGTGCTTGTGTTCCTCGGCGTGTCGATCGTCGGACTCTTCGCCGCTGACATACACGGACAGAATCACCCAGAGTGAGCAACATACATGACATGCATGTCGGGGGTGGCTGGCTGGCTGGCTGGCTGGCTGGGCTCTGCGGCGCCGGACTCTTTGCTGCTCGACATGAAGTTAGCATGTGTCATGTCTGTCGACTTGTTTGTTTGCCTGCTGTGGCGTGAGTGCAGTTACTCGGACGCCGACACTGACGACAGTATGCGGGGTGTGCCACTGGTGCGGGCATACCACAACCCTATCCTGGACAAGTGAGGGAGGGAGGGAGGGAGGGAGGTGACAGACAGACAGACAGACAGATTCACCCTCGGAGATAGATTTGTCACGTGTGTGTGTGAGTCGTCGATCTGTGCGAACGTATGTTTGTCCTGTCTGTCTAGGTGGGAGGCCCTCCCTGAGGGGTTCGAGCCGCCACCCCCGAGCGCCCTCGTACAGGTTACCTACGTTGGCCCACGCAACACTGGCAGGCAGGCAGCCAGACATTCTTGCGTACACTGACTAGATGCAGCCAGCGCACCCAGGCGCCCTGTGTTGCTTGCTTCCTTGCCTGATTGGTTGTGCCCTTGGGCATGAATGGCATGCGTATGTACGTACGTATGTGCGGTTGATCGGATTCATTCAGTACTTCAAGACGGAGTACCCGCACATCCAGATCGACATGGGGAAGATACCTCTGGGTGGCCTCACCATCCTACGAGTGCCCAAGACACAAACCATGCCGGCCGAATTCATCATGGACTCTATTACTGGTGAGACACGGACGGACACGCCACCCCGACCACCTCACTCACTCCCTGTCTCATCATGGTCTGTCTGTGTGTCTGTCTGTGTGTGTGTGTGTGTGTGTGTTGTGTGCAGGTGAGATAGGTGCGGCTCCCCAGGCTGTGCAGAAGAAGCGCCAGCGAAGCTACCTCAGGACCTGATGTGACTAGGGACGGATTCATGAATTCCAGCCGGCGGGAGCAGGCCTTCCAGAGGCCTCGAGACGTTCGGTGTTTTGAGTTGTGTGCAAAACGGTCATGTGTGGCCAGGCAGTGTGTGTCCATCATCACATCGATGGCTGCTGTACGTACATGTGTGATGCTCGGTGATTCAGAGCAGACTCTATCAGTCAAGTGAGCGTGCAGCCACGAAATACTGCATGTTGATGTCATGTGGCTTGACCGGCACGCAGTAAGGCAAAAAGTCGAGGGCCAGGGGCGTCAGTCGATTCTGCACTCCCTCCAGCACCTCATGAAAGCGCTGGGCGCTGTCCTCGTCCCAAGCATTCTCAAACAACTCCAGGCGCTCAATCGTGCTGCACGTAGCAACGCAGGCAGGCAGGCAGGCAATCATGTGGAGACATCATTATGACAGTGGGTGGGTGAGTGATGGGATGGGTGTGGGTGTATGCGTCCTGCTCTGCTCACGTGTTCCTCTCGATAGCGTCGGCCACCTGACAGACGCCCTTGCCCGTCAGTGCGCACATGCCGCAGTCCAGGTGCCTCAGACTACGGTTGTACCACAGAGCGTGGCTGATATGGCCCACACCCTCATCCTATAGACATGCAGGGACGATACCACGCCAAACACACAAGCGCATGCATGCTCCCTTGGCTCCCTCTCTGCCGTCCTTCCTCCATCCGTCAATCACGTCTCGAGAGCTTGCCTAGGTCCTCACTGCCTCACTGCCTTTATACCTGAATAGGATTAGCTCTGAGGATGAGGGTTTCGAGATTGGAGTCGGCCCGCAAGAGCGTGGCCAGGTGGGATGCGCCGGTGATGCTGATGTTATTGGCCTTGAGGTCAAGACACCTCAGCGTGCGGTTCTCGAGCAGCCCCTGGACGAGGATCCTCGTGCCCTCATCGCCCAGACGCTGCTTGGCAACGTGCACTGTCTCCAGGGTGGGGTTCATTCGTACCATCCTGGCATAATGCTCAGACAGGTCCGCTTGCAGGCTGAACAGCCTCGGATTCGACACGTCTAGCACCCGCAGCGTCTGAGCCAAACCAACCAAGCCGAGACAGAGACAGGCAGCCAAACAAAGACGCACAAAGGTAACCCGACTCATGCTGACTCATCTCATGCTGGTCTGTTTCAATGTCTCGGTTCCCACCCACCCGATTCGCCAGTGCAAGCCGCTCTGCGACTGCCAGGACAGACACAGCCAGACAAACCGAGAGACAGCGAGACAGACACTAGGTCGGTTGGGGGACGAGTTTTCTTTGTTGTGCATGGATATATTTGGCTTAGGTACTTGCCACGACGCTGTCCACTTCGAGCTCGCAGGAGGCCAGCCTGAGCTCTTGAAGCATGACCTTAGAGCGCCCCCCATTCGCGCCGTCGTCCCCCTTGTGGGCAGTTTTCTCAATCAGCGCTGCGGCAGCGAGGCCTCCTTTCTTGTGCAGTGGATTGAGGGAGACATCGAAGGCCCTTAGGTGTGCGAGACCTGCCCTCTTGATGGCCTCTACAAGAGCGCACATACCCGATGCGCCAATCGAATTGTCGATCAGGGCAAGGGACGCCAACAATGGGCACTCTACATAAAAAAGGGAGGGAGGGAGGGAGAGACACGCAGGTAGTAGACAAGATAGACGTGGCAATGCCATGGTCAGCAGGGCTGTGACCCCATCTCTCTACCTGGTAGCAACCGAGCCAGCTCTTCGGCCCCGGCATCACCTGCCACACATCCACACCGCCTCATATCAAGGCAACGCCCACCTGCTGCGTTTATGGATGTGTACGAACATACTCACCAATAAAATTGTAGGAGAAATCGAGAGCAGTGATAACAGCAGACCACTTAGGGAAGCCAAGAAACAGCTCCGTGATGCAACTGATGTCTGGCGGTAGAATCCGCAAACTCTTCTCGAATGTGTGTCGATTGTTGCCGGCGGCATGGAAAGCCAGGTCACCCGGCGGTTTGTCTTCGTCCGGTAGTAAATCGAGCACAAGAGGATTCGGCTTCCGATTGCCGTGGCGGCAAACCTCGTCATACAACCTCTTCTGGAGCACACACCCACACACGCACGCACACATCTGTTCCATTGACACACCCGTCTCTCCGGTCCTCCCCCTCCCCTCACCATGAGTATTTGTGGATACGGACGTCGTGGATCGCCGGCAAGGGATCGCTGCCGTCTCGGCAAGGGAAGGACCTCCCCCACGTGTCGGAGGCCTTCTCCTCGTCTTTCTTCTCCTCCTCGCCCTTGACTGCACGACGAACACGACACACGGCGCATGGGTGCATGTCTGTGGTTTGAGTGCTGTGTGGCCGCGTGTGTACTTCCTTCTCCTTTTTTCCTTCTTTTTGTCGGGCTGGCGAGCTTCTGTCCAAGCGGGTTTTCCGCGCCGGAAAAATTTACTCGCCCCCATTTCTTTGGGGCCCGGGGAGACAAAGAATTTACCATTGGCGATGAGCACATGGACGAGAAGCGCTGTTTAAGTTCCTGCAGGCAGCTATCTGATGGGCATGTATTGATGGGCGTGTGTTGATTAGAACAACTGTTTCCACACGCGGCACCACGTAATACCGCAAGGACGTCTCCGAACTATTGCACCATACATATCTCTACGAAAAAGCGTCAGCTGTACACCACTACTGCGCCGGGCGGCCGCCCCAGTCGATTTTACATGAACGCCTATCATCTAGAGGCAGCCTCGAGAGCAATAATGTACTTGAGGTCAATGAGAAGGAACTTGAGAGCCTTCGTCCACCTGCACGCAATGTTTGGGGAGGATTGTCGACACAGTGTTGAATCCTTCCGTGTGTGGTAGGCTGTGGTGTGTGACTGCACATGACCTTTCTTCCTGATTGAACTGCAGGCGAATGGGAAACCCCTCGATCTTGTCACCGTCGATCCTGAAAATGTACACGAACGCACAAGCCCTGCCCCACTCACACGACCGCATCGGTTGTCTTACGTACTTGAAGGGAATGCGGGCTGTGGGGTCACCGCGGCGGTGGATCATGTTGGCCACCTCCTGATACATACACGCGCGCATTCATGCAATGAATCATTCCAGTCATGCGCATGCGCGTGCGCATCCCTCCCTCCCCTCTGGAAGTGGTAGCGTTTGTGTGCGTGCCTGTGTCGACATGGATCTACCTGCACACAGTCGAGAAAGGCCACCATCGCTTGGTCGAATCTGCGGCCCGAGAAGAACCGCGACAGTCCCCCCTCGCTCCCATACAACTCAAGCGTGGCCTTGTCGTGCTGAACAAGCCACACACGTTGTCACCATGAAAGTGGAAGGAAGGACATCGGGAGGCCTGCCGAAGTGCCTGACCTTCCTAATGATTGCTGAGTAGCTCCCGCGAGGCAACAAGCGGTACCTGGCACACACCAAGACGCAATGTGCCCCGCCAGCCATATTTGAATACGAACAGGCGGGTCTCTTGCTTTACTTCTGAAGCTGCAATCGGCACTTTTTGGTGACAACGTCGAGCAGCAGACACACCTGGCCCCACGCCGCATTGATCTCGTCCCAGGACACCTTGGTAGACAAACCAGCAACACACCAGCCATTACAGTGGGGAACGCTTGATTCGCGAATGCCTGCCAGGTTTGTTGCGGTCCTACCGGTGTGTGCAGCAGTTTGCCTAACCGGAAGCCGTTAATGGTCCCGAAGGGACCATCTTGCCTGAACGAATGAAAAGTACACGTATCCAGCCACTGCTCAGCCTTTCGTCTGTCGAAACATGGATGCTGCGTGCCGGCACAGTGTGACACCTACCATATGTGGAAGGTGTCGTTAATGACGTTCATGGTCTTCAGTCGCTGCAGCTGCCTCGTTGCGTAGTGAATGGCGGCCTGACAGACAGCCAAGCCCAATCGTCACAAGTGCCCGTCCGGCATTCATTTCCAAATGTGCCGTCATACGTTGGTTGCGGCCACTTCCTCCTCGTGGCAGACGACCTGACTCTGGTAGTCGCTGAATGACGTCCAAAAACTGGGCACACAACGACAAAGAAAGGCAGCCGAGAGGGAATGGGTTGATCGTGTGTTAACGAATTGATTGATCTCCGCTGGTTCCGCGCACCTGTGTTCATCTTCATGTAGCTGTTTCATTTCAGCCTGGAGAGTGCTCTCCTCACGCTACAAGCACCAAGAGCGGCGCACACAAGGCGAAGCGTTCTCAGATCAAACCAAGGTAGGGCCCTGTCTTCCTGCCTGTCTTGGGGGGCTCACATGAAGTGCTGCTAGCTGGTGGTCGACAGACTCGATTTCCCTGAGCAAATGCCTCTCCTCCTCCTCGAGTCGGTGAATCTCATCCTCCAACTGACGGCCAGCAGAGCTACCCTGAACCAGACAGACATGTACACGTCGGGTTGTGGCGTCAAGCATACGTGCAGCGAGTGAGGGCCATACATGCTGTTTGTGTTGGTTCTGTTCATTTTCGAGTGCCTGCAGCGCGGCCTGGTAGGCTTTTTTCTCCTCTTCCGCTTCCTGTGCTTGCTTCTGGGCCTCTTCCAAAACCTGGTCCACGCAGTCGACACACAATGGATGGGTGGCATCGGCCTGACCCTACACACAGAAGAGAGACCGAGGCAGCCGCCCAGCAACCAGGCAGTTGGACTGATCGTGAATGCGTGCAGTGTGTGCATTACCGATGCGAGGTCCAGTATCCTCTCCACCCGGCTGATGGCGTCATGGTATCCGCCATTCCCACCACCCGCTCCCATCTTGCTGGCTTCGAGTGTTGAGGCCGCGCCAGCCAACACCACAAACGACTCAAGCATCGTTGCAAACGACTCTAACAAGGACAGGGAAGAACAAGCTAGGCCTCCGTTCTTGCCGTGTGCTGGTGTGCGTACTGTGAAGATCGACAGTGTCGATGCTGGGTATGTCATCGACAATGGCCAAGGGTACGTTGCACTTCGAGCAGTAGTTGATGACATTGAGCTGCTGTCGGGAGGAGCTGCTCGATGAAGCACCAGACGGTTGGCTGCTGGGGGCTATCATAGCTCTGCGCCTATAGCATTCCTCTCGTAGTGGAGCATCCTCTCGTAGCGGTTTCAGGAGCACCCTGCAGCTCGATCTGCGAGCTTATAGGCGCAACCTGCCTTGAGAAAGCAGCTATGGCACTTTTTACGCTGCCATTGTTGGTGGCTGTCATCCCGTGCGTCCTTTGCACTACAGATCTTGCGAAAGGTGAGATACGAGTGAAGCACGTCAAGCGAATAATCATCATCTGACTGCCTTCTTTCTTTTGTGCCTGTGCATTGCTGTCCAGCGCCCCCATTAGTTGACGAACGCATCAAGGAGGCATTGCTGGGAACGTCTGTCAGGAATGAAGGTGAGCAAGGAGCATCCGCGAAGCACTCTGATACGGGTAGCTGGTATGTGTGTCTGTCAGTGACGGCTCCTGAGGTCCGCCCTGCAGTGGATGATCACAAATACGACAATCCAAGAACACTAGTATGGAACGAGTGGTGCCTTGTGACGCCCTGGCGACGCCTGATGCTTTCAGGTGGTACTGGACCCAATCGAGATGAAAGACTCATTCACGCGTTTCTTCAAACAAATGGAGGGTCAGCCACAATAATGCATGAATGAGTCAATAAATAATATTGCTGTTGTTTGCACGCTTAGCCGCTGGCCACCGCCTTGCGTATCGCAAAGTTCGCGACAGTGACGTCGATAAAGAAATGTTCCGCCACGGCGAGAGGGCCTTCAACAACGTGGTGCTGTTTCTGCGCGCCCCATTCCCGTCGTCTGACGCCCTCCGGTCGCTGTTCGGGCAGCTGCTGTCGTTCATGGACGATGGGGGCAATCTGCTCATCGCAACCGGTGCCTCCGTGCAGGGCAACTCCGACGGAAGCGGTGACGATACGGCTGCCGTGGCATCATCTGCTCAATGGAAAGAGCTGCGGACATTCGCCAACGAGCTGGGGATGGACCTGGACAGAAGGGTAAAGGCTGCATGAGGCAGACACACTTGTGGAACGTGAAATCCTGTTCAGGGGTGGGTCTTGCGTGATCACTTTGCATTCCACGGAAGCGACGAAGGACAACACTCAATGATTACATCGGACAAGGTGAAATTGCCACACCTACATTGAGTCCATGGAGAAAGCGCTTTGTGAATCGGTTATGCATCTCAGATACTTCGGAGCACGCCCGTTGTTGATGACAAAGCGCTAGGAGGGCCAGTCGCGTACAGAGGTAGGTTGAGGCTCCGAACGAGAACGGCAAAGACAGAAAGAAATGAGAGCTCTTTGTTTGACCAGGAGTAGGTCACTGGTTGAGTCCCAGCAATTCGCTCACCTTCAGTATCTTGCGCGCGTCGCCAACCACCTACAGCGCGCCCGCGTCGGTGGAAGAGGACGCCGGATACCGAGGGGACAAACAAGGTGGAGACAGGCAGAGACAGAAGAGGAAGACAAAGGATCACACGTCAGTCACCCTCGAACAAAGCGCTGTGCCTCCTGCAGAAAACACCTTTTTGGTTTCGGCCATGCAGGTCGTGAACGAAAGCGCTGTGAACGGGAGTGACGCGGAAGAGTCATTGTTTTTTTCAGGCTCACAATTCGGCGCGCGCTGTCTTCTCCGGGTCGCTAGACATGTTCTCTGATGAATTCTTCCTACTTAGGTACAGCTGGGACATGACACGGTCTATTCTATTATGGAGCGTGGGCGCACGTGCACGTGTGTCTTTACTGCGCAGCAATGTGTCTAACTCCCAGTTTTGTGGCCAGCTCGCCGCGTGGACGTGCCACCAAACTGGTAGAGGAACAAGCGGAAGACACGAAGTTTGCATTTTTTATACCAGCGAATATGGCTGGCTTAGGTGTTTTGCGTAGTATCAATCTGCGTCACCACAAATACGACGAAGAATCGGCTCCTTACATGTACCGGATCATGGACAACATCACATTCTCAATCGACATCCAAGAGATCAAACAAGGTGAAGAGACAAAAATCGGTAACCCAGGGGTCCGGAGCATCCATTGATGCTTCTCAGGCAAGTGGGTTGCCTACATGGGGGACGACGTGCAGGTTCGAGAGGCAGCAGACTGACGTCAAGCGTCACCATAGGTACCCGCGTCTCCCGTCCTTTTTTCCACCGCAGGTTGAATTTGTGATGCTGGATCCCTATCTGCGGCTGTTTCTGGACAACAAGGCTTCCTCTGGCACATTCACCACCAACTTCAAGGTCAGCCAACAGAGTCTGGCCCGTGTTTAGACTGTGTCACGCGCTGTTGCCAGGCTCCGGACCACTGGGGGGTGTTCAAGTTCGTCATAGATCACCGCAGGCAGGGCTACACGTTCTTGCACATCGAGGAACAGGTGAGTGAAGACGCTTATGGACAAACATTCTTTTAATCGTTCTCGCTGATTCAAATCGTGAAATGTAAAGGCCCCTCTTCGCAACTTCAAGCACGACGACTACGCCAGGTTCATTTGGTGCGCGTTTCCCTACTACGGTAGCGTCTTCTCTACCATCGCAGGTAGATCGCTGCAGCAGACTACACCTGGGTAGCGAAGTGAACCTGTTTGTCTCTGCGATGCAGCTGTGGTTGGATTCTCGTTCATTTTCCTGTCAAGTGCCTGAAAGACTTCTGTATTTGATCGCATCCGAGCGCGTTTTCGTTTGTGGATAGACTGTACATACAGAGACACTTAATTAAGGTCAGTAGTACCGATCAATGCATTAGTCTCAGTCCAAGGTTCAATGGGATGACGAAGCATATTTATGTACCACGGAAACCAAACAGGAAACGGAAAAAAAGTACCAAATAAACTAATAAATAGATAAATAAATAGATGAAGACACCACCAAACCGCAGCTAGCCACCCTGTCTTGAATGGGACAGACATATATTCGCACCTATCCTCGCCCATCCCAACTCATAACCGTCTGTCTTTGCAAATCAGCACTTCAATCAATCGCGCGACAAACCTTCGTTTCATTCAGCAGCGGGCAAGTCCTCCGGGAAAGAATGCATCCCAACGAACTTCTGTCTTCTCCCGCGATATCCTTGAGAACTGATCGGCAAAATGCGCGAACGCGAACGCTGCCAAGTTGAGACGCTGACAATTTGAGAACACTACGTCGAGGCTGCCACTGGATAGGGCTTTATTTACGTTTTCCTTAACAGACCAACGAGCTAGCGCTGTTCTGCGACAAACGAAAAAGGTCAACAAATGAGAGAAAGAGAAAAAGAACCGCAGAAGCGACAAGAACCCGCCAGTCTGACGAGACCACTCTCTTTGCGTGGAAGTGCTGCTCTGTTGCGTCTCTCCATGCCGCAGAGGACGCCGTACGCGTCGTCAAGTTCCGACAACTCCTCCCGAACCTTGGGCGTCTCTGTTTGGTGCCAAGAATTCACTAGTAGTCATCAGCTGTCCGATTGTCTGCAGTCTCATGTGTTTTGTTGACAACGCGGTCCAACACATACGGTCTTTTGCGTTAAGGGTGTCAGTCCAGGAACACATTCTGGAAGCTCAAATTGCCTCGCCACTAGAGTATGTCTCGTGGTCTACTTGTTAAAATAGTCTATCAATCTAGTGTTCGCAATCTCCTAGTCAGTTGGATTCACCCTTTGCCTTTTCCTCGTCATCCAAGCTTGCGGACCGACCAGCATAGACCATCGCGGTGACAATGTCTCTAGATCAGATGTGCTGGTCGCCCATGCTTCTTTGAAAGCGATTCATTGACAATGTCTTGCGGATGAATCGATGTTTTATTCTGGCAGCTATAATTGCCTCGAAATGGAAGAGTTATCCTGCCATACGTTTCGCGTAGCTTTGTGGTGAAACATCCTGTCATTCGGATTTGCTAGGATCTTCCGGTGAAGATGTTATGAGCCATGCCATCGCCTCGTAGAGCAAATGCCGAAGTATCATGGCACAAGACAAGCGTTTTCGAAAACCGAAGTAGAGCACTTAAGTACTCTTTTTACTGTCACAAGTAGAATTGTTGTTCTGTTGATTTTCTTGTGTAATAGGCTCTGGTTGCCTTTCATCGGCGTAGTCTTGTGTAATAGGCCCTGGTTGCCTTTCATCGGCGTAGAAAGGGCCACTAGAGTATGTCTCGTGGTCTACTTGTTGAAATAGTCTATCAGTCTAGTGTTCGTAACCTCCTAGTCAGTTGGATTCACCCTTTGCCTTTTTTCTCGTCATCCAAGCTTCCGGACCGACCAGCATAGACTATCGCGGTGACAATGTCTCTAGATCAGATGTGCTGGTCGCCCATGCTTCTTTGAAAGCGATTCATCGAAAATGTCTTGCGGATGAATCGATCTTTTAATGTTGCCATTTGTCGTTCTGACTCAATGTTCGACGTTTGCTGTGACTTCTTCAGCGTCGTCCTTCATTCAAGTGAGACAGCCTGGTCCAATGAGGACTTCAAAGACCCGTTTACGTGTACACGATCTTCGAAACGTCGGTGCCAAGCAGAGAGAGGGTGACAACAAGAGAGAAATATCCGACACTTTCGTGTTCTGTATTTTGACGACCATTCGTCATTCAAGGAAGTGGTGAAGCGGCGAAATTGTTTTCACCTCCACATAACGTGCGAAGGAAGGAGGGTTTCGGTAATGCAAAGGGTCAGGGGTCACACTCGCTGACATTTGTATGAGCGCAGAGAATGGATAACGAACCAATTTCGCTTTCGACACACACGAGCACGCCACAGAGCCCTCACAACGTGTGTGGTCCTTGCTTGATGTTTGATGTGGAGATTTTTTATGGACGTCATGACAAGAAGGAAATGTTGTTAACCAAAACGCCGTCAGGAAAAGCCAGCGCCGGATCTGCGTTGCCGTGGTAGTTCACAGTTTGCCCGCAATCAAGCCCATATTTCAGACACCAGTGATCCATGGTTCACAGAGAGCCCGCGTCCTCTTGTAGAAGTGAAGCGTGTCACGAGTGTCAGAACACTACACGAGTGTCTCTGCTTCCTTGACAGTTCATCACGCTGGTCACGTTGCGATCACGTTTCCTTTCTTTGTCACCTTTGCAGGCACTTGACGTTGAGAGATAAGCAGGTTTCCATTCGTCATAATGGCGTGTGAAGTGAACCCCGTGGCGTTTCACGAAGGAGATATCCGATTTAGTATACATGAGAAGAAAGGAATGCAGGAAGGCAATTTCTGCACCTCTCCCAGTCGTTCAATGTTCATTTGTCAAAGTTCGTGAGCTAAATGTTTCGTAGCAGACATTTCTGTCGCAAGCCTGACAGCGTGTCTCTGCATCTAGGGAACTGGCTCCCTTTTCTGTTTCTCTTTGAATGTATTCGACGGCTATTCTCTCGCCAAGTTTTACTCGAAATGATTTCAAGACCAAATATCGCGTTGATAGCGCCCGCGAGACATCCACTCCTAAATACAGCGGAGAAAAGAAAGCGCAATTCTCCTCTTCCGCATCTCTTTTTCTTTTACCTGCAGCTGCGATTCAGCCGCCGAAATGCTGCACGACTCCTTGTCGGCAATTATCTGCATAAACAAGGCCTTATCTGCAAATATTAGATGCATGCTTTTCTTTCCTGACGCCGCCGCACCCGCTGAAGAGTCTCATGGACGTCTCGTGCCATCATAGACGCGTCTCCACACACGTATATGTGCGCCCCCTCCTACGAAGGACGCGACGCTAGATATCCAAAACATCTGAACTCTAGGGAAATCTTACCTCAAGCAGTCTCCAAAGAAAATCTGAATGGCGCTGTAGCAAGTGTTGAACGTAAACTTTGCTTCCCTGGACAAACGAAACGATAGTTCCATTCTGCAGCTGCAAGGCCGTTCAGAGAACGTTCGTCGTCGGAGTGCCCACCGTTTCTCGCGAAAAAGCGACATGCAACTGAATAATACCGCTCTTGTCCCATGCTCCGAGCTCATCCGCGTAGAGAAAGTCTTCGTCCCTGACAAACGAAGTGCAATTGAATCTAAGTGACCTCAGGGTTCGCCGTTTCACCTTTTCCTACATCCAAAAAAGAGGACGTGCTTCGATGGCTGAGACGGCGATGCGGTCTCGGCGTCCCGTCTTCTTTCTTGTTCTTGGATAAAAGCCCTAAAGGGAGCGATTCCCGTTCCTGGCCCGATCATAATGGTCGGTTTTTCAAAGCGCGGAGGCAAGCGGAAAGACTCGTTCTGCTGGATGAAAACCGGAAGACGGCTCCCGGGAACGATGTCTCTCTCCAACCACCCTGTTGTAACGCCTGCACCAACAATTTTTGCATGTCATTGTGAAGGAACGAGGAGAACAATTGGCGGAATGCGTTCTGTAAGAGCGCTTGCCTTTCCAGCATCTTCCGGCCACCCAGTATTTAAGGACAGCAACGCACACTGAGCACCTCGGGCCATGATGAGGGGATGAACTGATCGAGTACAGCCGAGGCTTTTGCGGCCTGAGGCTGTCTAGAATGACATGAAGTCAAGGGCGAGCTGCGGTTGAGTCCGTTACGCCCTTACTTATTAGCTCTTGTGCGGAGCAGGACCAGCCAGTGCTTTGAAGTACCTGATGACGTAAGCAGTCGCGAAAACAACGTTGCAGGGCTGCGATTCCCTTACCTCTAATGCCTCAACCAGGTGAAGTTGTCGACCAAAGTTGGCTTTTCTTTGGAAGGCGGCCGTGACGGTCCTCACATCGCAAACAGTCATGAGGGCGTCGCGGAGCCTTAGTTTTGTACTAGACTGCATATCGCTTGTCCGGCCGCCACCGCTTTGTCGTGTGAGTTCAAGTAGGCCTTGCCCACGAGGTATCCTCTTCTCGTATGACTTTGGAAGCTGACAGTCGTCCGGAAGAAGCACAGACCCACGAATGCAAGGTGGGCGGACTCTTACGCACCTGCACGAGCTCGTCTCCAGTAAGCCGACAGCTCGTAAGAATCTGGTCCACCTCTTCGGATGGATTGAGCGGCCATATCCCTAGCGCATCACCGGGGATGTACTGCATCTCACTGCCTGCACCAGAAAAAGGGCGTCGCCTTCTCCTCGCTTTCTTCGGTCCGACGCTTCCCCACCTAGTTTGACCGAAATGTGCATGACCCTTTTGTCCCCATTCGGATCTGTCGCGCACAGGTCCCTTTTCTCGTCCACTGCAGAACATCACCCAGCCCATGCTGCAATGCGGCAACGGGCCCCCTCCACTACCTTCGGCGAAGAATGGATGCATGCGAGAGTGCAGGGAGTTTTCGTCGCCGTTGCATGTCTCTCGCCGCAGTACGACGTCATCTTGTGTGGCCGCCTCGTCGCCTAACATGGCCTCGTCGTCTTCGACATCCGACGCTTCGAATACCAGGTTTTCCTGGATCTTTAGCAAGCTTTCAATCGCCTCATCGGCCCACCTCATGATCTTACACCAGTCCTCTTGGTCGATGTCCGCACGAGACGCCAGTCGTGTTGCACCGAGCCTGCAGCGTAGGGAAAATCACACATAGCTCCGTTGCTCAAGCCAAAGACGACGAACCTCAGCAGCCTCTCGTCTATGTCTTTTCCGCACTGACAGAACTTGGGGTAGTTCTTGTCGCCTGTTTGCACACAGGCAGAATCGGCGGTGCCCACATGGCCAGCTCTCTCTCACCCATCGCAAGAACAGAGTATCGCAAGGATTCCAGTGAAGGAGCGCCGGCAGAATGCAAAAACGCGTAGAAAGGCTTGACGTCTTCGGGCGGATCGCCATCCCCTGCAAAACAACATCATGGAATGGAATCGTTCCCTTATATACGGTCTGACTGTTTCAAACGGCCGACCGTGGGTTGAACACATCACAAGGGCCACCGACATTCGGGTCATCCCCATGAGTGTCGCCTTCGACCCTTCGGTGAATGAGGAAAGGTCCTTCTGCAACACCCTACGCATTTGATACACCAAGAGTAAGAAGCAGTCAAATCAGGCAAAGGCTGAAAAAAAAGCAGTGCGTGCACCTGTAGCCAGTCTTTTCCTTTATGAGTTCCACTATCCGGTCGGCCACTTCAGAGGTGAAACCATGCTCCGTCCCGATGAAGATGGTGACCAGCGGTCCCTTGGTCGTCAGCCCGTCGTCATACTTAGATGCCACATCGCTACCTTCCGGTCTTGTTGATTCATCTCCGTTGTCATCGCCGTCAACGCTCCTTATGAAGTCCTTGAAACTCGACGCTTGACGCCCCTTCTCGCGCGCACCATCGCCTTCGGGCCCGCTTGCTAGAAACGAGGCGAAGTCCGATTTTTGTCGACGTCTGGCACAGAATAAGGGTGCAGAGGCTCCGGCACCCATCACTTACGGGCACAGCATGTAGAGCGAATGGAAACCTACTGCCACAGTACAAAAGGAACACAAGATTTTGGCAGCATTTCCTCTTTTTCCTTCACAGCACCGCTGTTGTGCGCGGGACATTCTCGCCACCTTCAAATTTGATCTGCGGGTGCCTGCGAGGTCGGCGATATCTGTGGCGTCTTGCATGGACAGCTGTATTCGCGTTGTTGATGTGGTCAATCGGAACAGGAAGCGAGCTAGCTCAAAACCGGGGGAATTGGGGGCAAACGGCCTTCTGACTTCCTTCCCTCCCCTCCATCCCCTCCAACACGTCCACAACGCGTGATCGCCTCTCCCCCTTTGTCACGATGTCACGTCCACCCCGGACGCCACCGACCCTCCTCGCCTTCGATGGCTCAGCTGCCGACCTCCCGGGCGAAGTCATGACCGGCGTCTTGCAGAATCTCTTCGGCTGTTGCCAGTGGAGGGTAGTCTCTCGATGGTACAGGTCGAGGCCAACAAATGAGAAAAAGGCCATGGAAATAGCCCTCAAGGACCTCGCTCGATTCATTTCGGACAATCCCCCCGAGGAAGGAGGAAATGGCGGTTTGGGGGAAGACATCCGCCCCAAACGGCTGTCATACGCTGACTACATGGGTGGGTGCCACTGGGTGGGGCACAGCAAGCGGACTGCGACGTGCATACATGATTATTCTTTGCTGTGACGTCAGATAAGCAGCGTTTCAGAAGGTACGTGTGTGCCGTGAGCCCCCATCTCAAACCACTGGTTGCTGTCCGGTGTACAGCACATATCAGCTCATGAACGGCTCTGTGCAAGAGTCAGTGGCCAAGAAGGCCCGCCAGACAGATGGCGGCGACGTTGCCACCTCGACCTCCTCTGACAAAACTGTAGGCATCAGACGAGTTAGGGGTCTTCTCTTCATTGCTTGGTGCTTTCTCCTCAGTTGCTTGCACTGAGCAATGTTATCAGTACAAATCGTCAGGATGCTGTAATGTCATGGATTAAAAAAAACAAATCGTCTGACAAAGTAAAGCACACGAACTTGGCTCGGGCTCACTGGTGCATGCTTTCCGTCCTTTGTCTGTTTAGGTTCGTGTGTTCCTCGATGGTGTGCGTTCTCTCAAGTGGCTTGCCCGGGAATATGATGGAGTCAAGTCGGACTATTCCGATCACTTCATCGGCTCGACACAAAGGTAGTGTGGCTGCGGCTCAAACTGTCAGTGGACCCTCTCTCATGCATCGCTCATCGCACTGTGAGACGATTTCCTTGTCGATCGCATTGCAGGCCCCACCGCCCGAAAAGAGCATATTTGAACTTCAGCTCTCTGGTACGTGGATATCTCGAGCGCTGTCTATGTTGTGCATGGGGGGGTACGGGCGTGCACTTTAAATCCTCGGTGTATGTGTCATCAGCCGATCGGAAGCATCTATTCAAGGATATCGTCAGTGTATCCGATCAGCAAGAAGGAGCAGGAAGAGCTGATGGCAAGCAGCTATTTCAAGGACAGCGGCGATGTGGAATCCCTGACTGCATCGCTGAAACAAGCCGACGTGAACAGTAAGCGTCAATACACTCGAACACACAGGACACAACGACAGATGCGGCCGGAGTAGGTGTTCTTCATGATTTTGGCAGGGAAGCTCCCGTCTGTGTCTGTCGGGGGCGTCAATGCCGCCAGGCCGGGCGCGGAAGTCTCCAAGTGCCTGAAAGGCCACAAGCGTAAGCTACCCTGCTCCCCTTTTCTGGCACTTCCACAGCCGCGAGTGCGCATTTATGCATGCAGCACACTGGAAGAGCGAGTACAAAGCTCAGATGCACTCGGATGTGCACAATTCACTGGCTATGAAGGTAAGGGCCAACACGCACAGCCTGCTCGGCGAGTGAGACATTTGAGTGTGAGCGGAGCGCATGTCTCTGTGTCTCTCTCTTATGTCTCTTTTGTGCACTGGTGTCAGCGGTTTGACCTCGTGCCTGGAACGAGAGCGCCTCGGGTCAGACGGGCATTTGACCTTAGTGTGCTGTAATGCGTGTCGTCGTGTTATCACACCACAAAAACTGTAGGTCACTCATATACTCAAGGTTGCAATATACATACAGAATAGAAACAGTTACTCTACATCGTGGCACTCATATCGGCAGACCAACCATAGTCAAAAGCTCCGAACACTTCAGCGGATACTGATCGTGACTCTTGATGAGGCCCCGTACTTCTACGTTTTCCACCCCAGCCACGCCCTCCACCCGGTGAAGACCCGCAACCTGATGGGTGCACGGACAGGCGGCGAACGAGTGTGTGTCGATCCACTTTTGTGCCACTGTGTCATGAACACCTCCTGCCTGCCTGCCTGCTCATGTGTGTTGCGTGTTGGTGGGAAAGGGCTGTTGACCGACCTGTATGCCCCACTCCATGTATCTGAAGAGGAAGCCAAGCAGCCAGTCAGACGATGCGTAGACGTTGACGAGGCGGCCGGCCACCACTGCTCTCGCCCTCTGCCACAGCTGTGTGTCCGTCGACGTCGGGAGACCCATCAACACCACATGAGCCACACAATTCAACTTCCGCTGTGTCGCAGCAACCATCCACGCGAACGAGGGAAGGGCAACACACACACACACACACACGCGGTATCCCGTGATATCAGGAGTGCAGGCCAGGCGTGGCGTCCTCACTTGTCTGTACAGCTCTTGCAGTGCATGGAAAATGACTCTGGCGCCCATCGAATATCCAATCAGGGTTACTAAATAACATCCACACCACGGAAGCCCATGCGAGCATCCGCCATCAAGTGGACGAGTCCAGCTGGATGCCCACCTGGTCGCTGCCCCACCGTCTGCGTGTCCGCCACTGCCTCAGCGAGTAGCGTGCCGGCCTGCTGCGCCCGCTGCCTGAGCCACCACACAAGGACACACTTGATGCAGCTTGCCAGCTGGCAGGGCGTCTTGTGTCGGCAGGCAGGATGAACTGACCTGCACAGTAGCCACGCGTTGTCTAAATTGGAGGCGAACTTGATGAGCGACACGGGCCAGGCGAGCGCCATACCTACAGCGCCATAGATGGTCGTCTTGAGCCAGTACTGCGCTGCATGAGTCGCGAACTCCTGTACAAACCATCCACCCACCCAGGCAAGCGGAGCAGATCGCACCCTCCCTCCCTCCATGTGGATTCTTCCGTGCCTTATTTGTCTTTCCTGTGCGATCATATTCAGAAGTAGGCGGCCAAGTGCGAGAAGCTCACGAGACTCCCACCTGACACCAGCCAACCAACAGGGAAGACGGCCACCTCAACAAACACCTCTTGCATGTTGGGACCGAGAGCTGCTCACCGCAGTGCGTACAGGTCGCACACTGTGCCCTGCAGTCCCTCAGCCTGCGACCAAAAGAGACACATGGACGTCCAGGTCGCAATCGCTTTCCGTCCCCTCTCTCTCCCCTTCCGCCCGATGGCCACCCACCCACCCACCCACCCATGGTGCAGTGACGTCATCAAGTGTCTCGAGCCACCCGCTCACCCCCACCACCACCTGCAGTGCATTCCCCCCCTTGAGCAGCTCGAACTCGAATTCTTTCAGATGTCCGATCCGCCGGCTGAGCTTCCACCCCGTCAGCCCAGCACCCCCCACACCAAAGAGAGAGGCAACAAGAGCAGTGCCGCCAGTGGAGGCCAGGAAGGCCCCCACGCCAGCCGACACGGCCCCGCCCAGCCCCAGGGCAGCCCATCCTGCCGCAATGGCGGGCGCCGCCAGGCCACCCGTCAGAGCGATCAAGGCTCCACCACCGACGGCAGCACCAGCCACTTTGAGCCGCCGGTTTCTGGTGGACAGACACGAATGGACGGACACCAAGCGAGGGAGGGAGGTACAGGGAGGGAGGGAGGCACCACACCTCATTCACACCTCACGCATGCATACCGTTTTGCCCGCTTGTCCTCCTGCTTCTTGACGGCCAGCTGGCTTGCTAATTGCTCACCTGAGGCGCAGTAGATTGATGCATGCCATGCATTAGCGTGCTCGTTGGTCGAGTATGCACTGCACTGACCAAGGTCTTCTTCCAGTCGCGAGATGGCTAGCTCGCCCAGGTGGAAGTGATAGCCCAATCTAACAATTATGGCATGCACCCTCGCGTTGAAGCACCCTGTTCTGGTCACTATGGTCACGAGCAGGTCCCTGACCAGCACCTGGCACCTCCTGGGCGCCTCCAACGACTCCACAAACGCCCATGGCGGCTGCGGCTCACCCAACGCCACCTCGTCCTCGCCAACCATATCGTCAAAGCCATCGTCATGGCTGCTCTCCCCTGCTGGTGGCTGCTCATCCAAACCAAGCAGGTCCACCGACTCCTGAGATGAAGACGCCTCCACTGCGGCGGCTGCGGCTGCTGCGGGGGCATCGGATGGCTGGGGGGACGCGTCCTTGCTCGGCTCGTGAGTGGCCGCCCCACCAGGGCTGTCGGTCTGTTGTGTCGTTGCGGCGCTCTCGGCCTTGAGTCGTTGCACCGCCGCTGCCTTGGCCTTGTCGAAGACGGTAGTGATGGCGGACTGGTCCGTCTCACAGTAGTCCAGGATGGCTCTTGTGAAGGGCTCGATAAAGAAGGGGGACGAGGGAGGAGGCTGCGAGCGCCGCTTGGAGAAACTCAGCCGGCGAAACCGGGGCTTGTCAGCAGGGTCACCACCCCCACCCCCACCACCCCCACCGTCCATCTCAGTGCGCAAGTCGTACATCTTGACGAAGGCCCGGCTGTGTGTGTCGGGCAGGCCGATGATGGTGGCGAAAGTCTTGATCAGTTCCCTGCCCCACTGGTCGGTGAGATCGTGGGGGTGCGGGTGAGGGTCGCTGGCCGGCGGCGAAGGCATTTCCCACAGCTGCGAGGGCCCCATGTCCACATGCTCGGCCACAAGGCATGTCATCAAACCAACCAATTCTGACTTGAGGCTCTCGGGCAAATTGTACACCCGTTGCACGTCAAATGGGATCAGCTGCAGCGACTGGAACAGACGCGCGCTGGCTGTCGACTCAGTTACACGCCTGAACGAACGCATACCACACACGCAAAACTGAAGTCCTTGTGAAATGTGTAGGTCAGGCTCTGTCTGTATTTGGTGTGTGCACCCGTTGGCTGGCCGTGGTGCCTGCCGCCCGTTCGTACGTACCTTCTTCTGGCCTTCTCTAGCCTTGCAATGGCACTTGCTTTGGCCTTCTCGCCCAGCTTGTCCAGCCCGGCCTGTGACAGCCTGCCGCGGCCTCGCCGCTGCAGCTCTTCCTCTCCCTCTGCCTCGCCCTCTGCCTCTTCCTGGCCGTCCTGTTGGCGCCCCTCGGGGCCTGTCGTGAGCTCAATGCCGTCGGTTGGCTCCAGGGCGTCACTAGCTGCGTCAGTATAGTCATCCGCCTCGTCGGCCTCGCCGTCCCCCTCGCTCCTGATATCTGCGAGGTGGTCGATACCCTCGGATATCTTCTGGGCCTCAACCTCGCTGATGGCCGGAAGGCCCAGGTCGCCGATGTCAGACAGCCCGTCGCCCCCACCTTCCGGCAGACCGTCCACCGAGGAAACTCGGGGCGGCGCGTCAGGTCTGTCTGGCACCTGTCCATGGGTGGACTCGTCGGCTGCCTGGTGCTGCTGTTGATGCTGCCGCATGAAGGGACGCTTGAACCACTCACTTGGCTTCGGCAACGGACTATCTGCACAAGCAGAGCATAACGCTAGAATGAACTGCCAGGCCGTGACCGATGGATGTTACACATCGGGCCCTGTAGTTCCTCCCTGCCTGTGTCGTACCTGCACTCCCGGCTGCTGTGGGCGCCCGCCCAGCGGCCTTGTCATTCTTCTTGCTCCCCGCCGAGCGAAACATCTCCGGGTGAGTCAGATGTGTCGTCGTGACTGCGGCCAGCAGCTCAGACAGTAAAGTGGGACGGCTCCCGGCTCTCTGCTCCTCTTTCCGCCGCCCAAAGCGAGCTGCGGGCCGATCTTCCGTCCCTGACTGCTAACGGCCACCGACGGCCTTGGGACGACGGCCCGGCCCTGAGAGATGCTGTGTCCATAAAAGCGTTTGTCATAGTTCCAGCCGTCTTTAGTTCACCTACTCCCATGCATCTGTGGGTATCTGGGGGTCAGCAAGCGGCCTCATGCGCAGCTCCAGGCAGGGAGTCAACGACCGAACGTCACAACGCATTCGGCACCCTGCCGCAAGAGGTGACACAAAACGGCCACAAGCCAACTCATGCAGCCCGACTGATTCTGCCACATCTCAACTGGCAGAACGAGATGCATCATTCCATTCTGTTGTGTGATGATGCAGGTGCTGGCAGTAGTCCTCGATATGTTGTTTGCAGCCCAAGTGGTTTCAGTGCTGCCAGTGGTGGACTCCACGCTGCGCACCGTCTTGTTGGGTCCCGCGTGGCTGATGGACAGCAGGGGGCACGCCTCTCTGGGGTCAATCGACGCAGCAGAGGCGTGGACTGCAGAGCTCTGGAAGGGGTCAGTCAGTAAGCCAGTGAGTGAGCTATCCACCGACTGACCCACCCACCACCACAACCACACAACCAAACGTATCAACACACATCGATCAACATCTATTCGTTTGTGTCTGTGCGTGTGTGTGTGTCCAGTCGGTTCCTGCGGCTTCACGGCCGCGTGTGGACCCTTGGACTGAGCCGTGATTCGCGCCTCTGTCAGCTGTCCAGCATATGGTGGCGGTGGGTGTGTGTATGCTGCGCGCTGCGTACCTGTGTATCGTGTGGTGCTAAGGTGGCTGTGTCACCTCCTGTCAGCGACCGTGGAGTCCACTGTGATGGCTGCCACAGGTGTGCACGCACGCAGTACTGACTGATGGATGGCAGTTCAGTTCCATCCACACACCACACCATTCAAAGTGCTGTCTGTCTGTGTGTGTGTCCTTCTTGGTGCATGTGTCCACCAGCGTGGTGTGCCGCTCGCTGGGAGTGTATCGTCGTATCGTGGACCAGCCCGACAAGGCGGCCCTCCTGCCTCTGGTGTGGCGTGGCGCTGCCTTGGCTGCCTTGTCGAGTGGAGGGCCGCTGCCGCCTCGTCCACTGGCCTACCCTCTGGACTCCCTCTCATCCCTCTCCTCACTGGTCAAGATATGGTCCACCTCTCGGGACGGATGCTCATTCCACACACTACTTGATCGACTCGCCACAGTTAAACACGCAGTACTTGTCGTGCGCCAGCGGACTGACCAGGGACCCAGCCAGGTGTCTACTTCCCCCCGAAAGACAGACACAGACCATACACGGACAGATACAGCGGAAGTGCGTCGGACACCCACAGCACAGCCCGTTTTCTGTCTTTTCTGGCTCTGCAGCCGTTCGGCGTTGTGACCCCTTTCCAATGGCGGCTGGGGCAGCAAACCTGCCACTCCGATGTGAGCAGCTACATGCTCTTCTCCCTCGTGCCCCACCAGCAGCACCAACCCGCACTTGGCCTTCAGGAGCCGGACCCTGAGGCGCCCCCTGCTAGTAGTGAGACTTCTATCCTCCCATTCCTGCGCCGCGGGGATGACCGTGGTGCTCTGGGGAAGGCCTGGTGTGCGATGGTGACTCATGCCAAGCAGGTGTCGTTCCACTTGAAGCGCGATGGCGTCAGCTTTGGCGGCCCATACGGCCATTCTGCTCTCAGTATCGGGAAAGACATGAAGGAGGGCAGCAGCTGGCCCAATGGCCTCTTCGGCACCACTCACTCCGTCAGCGTCGAGCCGGTCTTCACTGTACACTCAGCGGAGGTAGGTGGCCACTCGTCGCTACCATGACATCCATCCCCCACGATTGAGTGAGCATTTCTCGTGTGTGTCTTGTCTCATGAATTATTTGATGAAACAGGTGTGGGCACCGTTGGCCAGCCTCTCCGCTGCGCCGCTGGTCCTTCGTGAGTGCAATGCTGCAGCAGGCAGTCCAATCGAGTCGGTGGAGAGCATCCAGAGCCACAATGAGACCATCGAGAGAAACATCGTTCGGCAGCTGCTGGTGCCGCTGTTGCGTGATCCTCTGGAGGAGTGGGGAAGAATGCAGCATGGTCTGTCGGACGACGAAGAGGGGCAGACAGACCGCAGCGGGCGGCGGGGGGCCCCCCACCCGCGCCAGGGGCGCAACCAAACCCGCAGATACACACACACTCACTGACTGACTCGCTGGGTGAGGAGAGTGTGAAGTTAGGAGGCTGTCAGCGAGGCTGTCGGCCACACCCAGAAAGGCCAGATATATATATGTATGGGGTTTTTGCGTGCTGTCCTGGTGCATGCCATGGACTGTGTACATGTGGATGGATGTAGCACAGACCATGCATCTGTGGTTAGTGAGTACATCGACCGATGGATAATGTCTGTCCCTAGGTGGGTGGACTTGCGTAGGCGTGTGAATCAACCGGTCGGTCAACTGCAAGCCTCCAATCCAGTCAGCCACAGAATTCCTCCCTGGCTCACATTATACAAGCATGGCCCGATCGATCCACACAGCCAGAGTACATACATGTATGTATTCATTGATGTATGTATATTGACTCTCTCTCTCTATACACACGTTGTGCACTCTATACACGATACTGTGCACCCCGTCTCCACGCACCTGCGCAGACACACACACACCCAGACAGACAGACAGGCAGGCCCGCAGGGAGGGAGGGAGGCAAGGACGGCTAAGAAGCACAACGGTGTGTGATGTGATGCCTGCCTTGCATCCCATCCATCAAATCAACAAACAGTACTCACCGCAGTGGGCTGATACATCCCAGAGGAGAAGAGGCTGCAGCAACATGAAACAGACAGCAACTGACTGCCGTGGGGTCGGCGCGATCGGATCTGGTTTGTCACCCACCTGAATGCAGTTGTTTGCCATCGATCCGCCAAAAGCACAGGAGCCCTTGGGAACATGCACTTACCACCTCAATCACAGACCCCTATCTCGCACACACACGCACACAAAACAACGTGTCTGTCTGTATATATTCCCCTCCCCTCCCTCACCGATTGTCTCCATGCGGCGATTCCTTTGATCCGCCCTGTGTGGCCAGCCAGAGTTACCGCTCTTGATTGACGGGACACCGCACCCCTGAATATATAGATGGATGGATGGGTGGGTGGGTGGGTGGGACGCGTTCACACGCCGTCATGCGTATGCCATACGTAATGCACAACAGGTTGTACTGTATGTATGTATATCACCCACCCACCCACCCACCTGTTGCAGTGATGAATGTCTTTCAATGAGAGCCCATGTATGTTTCCGCTCCTCACTGCACGCCACACACACCCACACGCCGACGAGAGTGTCTGTCAGACTGTTCAGCAGTGCCTGCGGGTGTGTGGTGTGGTATGGTATGGTCTGGTCTGGTCACTCACTCACTCACTGACTGACTCACTCACTTCCGATCAATGGCAGGTCTTCATGAGCGAAACACATGCAGCATGGCTCGTCGGGGTGCCCAGGGGTGCGCAACACTGACAGACACACAACACACACAATACCCAATCCATTCCTCTGTCTGTCGGTCTGTCTGTCTGTCTGTTTTGGGCCTTTATCCATCCATCCATCCATCCATACGAAGATAGATAAAGTGCCGCCGTGTGGTGAAATAATTCATGTCGTATGGCTGCACTCATTCGTGTGTCCTTCCTTACCGTCGTCCAGCTCCAATGTGACCCCGGCCGTAGTGTCCGTATCATGGACTACAACCTGCAGGGACCATCAATGAATGAATGAATGAATGAGTGGTTGGGTTGTTGGATGGATCTATCTATCTATCTATCTATCCACACAAGCGGGGTCGGGTCGGCCCCTTGCACCTTAACATGCATGCCAGTCATGTGCTCCATCCATCCATCCATCGATGTTTGTTTGACCCACCTGTGTGTCATGCAGGAGTGCATAGCAGGAGCCACTTGGCGACCACCGCATGTCCAATGCACCTGCCAGCCAAACACATATACATACATACCGAATGCAAGGCAGGCAAGGCATCGATGTGTGTATACCACCACCACCACACACGTCAGTCATTGTTTAGATCCAGCTAGCTAGCTAGCTACCAATGAGTGCTTGCTGTGCTGTATGTATGTATGTATCCAGTGAGTACTTGCCGTACGTACATGCGTACGTACGTACGTTTGGTGAGTTGTATTCGGTTCGCAGCGGCACCCTTCATCAAGTCCCACAGGCAAAGACAGCCACCCTGAGGACCGTGCGCACACGCAGGCAGGCAGACAGACAGACCATCCCATCACCCACCCATCAATCCGCCGATCAATGCAATGACAGACAGTGTGTATGGTATGGTATGCCATGCCTTACGTACGTACTTACTTGATCGATGGACACGGCAGCCTTGCCGGATGGGTGGACTCGCACCACTGATACGCGGCGTGTGTGGCCCTCGAGGGACTTGACCAGCTCCCAGTCACGCACACGCCACACCTCGACGGGGAACCCCACACCACTGCCCACTGATCTTGCCTTGGAGGATGGCCTGTGCCTTCTCTTCACGGCTGGTGGGGCGGCGGTGGCCCCGTGTTGCTTCTCCATGCGCTGCACCAGCTGCTCAAGGCGGCCGCGTCTGCTGCGGGAGGTGGATAGTGATGATGCCACTGCAGTGCTGGAGGAGGCCTTCTTCTTCTTCATTGTGGGTTGGATCACCCCGGCTGACTGGTTCTTGTCGCGCCCCTTGCTGCCGCCTTGTGAGTGGGTGGCAGGTGTCTGTGTTGTGTGGGTGTGGGTGTGGGTGCCAGCCGAGAGGAGGAAGGTCTTGCCGACGAGGGCCAGGCAGGTGACGGGGCCCTCGCTGGGCGACGACAACACACCCTCCTCACGCAACTTGCCCACATTGAACACCCTGAGGTACTCAGACAGACAGACAGACGGAAGCAGGAGGGTCATGGGAAGACAAGTAGAGAGGTCATCATGACACAACATTCCTTCATTCCTTGATTGATCGCTGCCCTCCCTACTTGATGGTTTCGTCTGTGCTTCCCGTCACGAGAAGATCATCGTGACACGCCATGCACGATATCGACCCCTGTTTTCAAATCAACAGAAACAACATAAACAAAGATATTGAGGTGTTTGCTTGTGGCCAGCAACATACACGACCCACCGCCCCAACACTGCCCCACCCATCTTGCCTCCTACCGTGGCAATGGTCATGGCGAACAGCTTGTGGCACTCATCGCCATCCTTAATGCGGTAGCCAAACAGGGACCCGTCCGCCGTACCGATGCATACCACTGCCTCACTCCCACCCTTCACGCTCATTTTGCTGGCAACGATCCATCTGCGAGCTTAGAAACCGCTGCAGAAGCTGCAAAAGGGAACCTTCCTTTTTTTGGCAAGATGAGCGGCGGCAGTAGCAGCAGCAGCAGCAGCAGCAACAAGCTGGCCAAGTTGGCGTCCACATTGAGCGACCACAATGCGGCGATCGATGCACTGGCAAGCTTCGGAGGACTCGCAGAGAACACTTCAAGATCAAGTAACTAACGACAAGCAAGGAACAGATAAGAAGCCGCTGGCCCAGCAGCCACACACTGTCGTATCGTCTGCTTGTGTGGTGTCTGACTGGCGCAGGGAAGGGACTTCGACACGACATCGGTAGGCAGACAGTCGTGTGTGTCTGTGTTGTGTTGACTCACTGACGATGGATCTATCCGTCTGTCCACCCGCCTGTCCATGGTGTTTGTATTCCATTACACATACATGTATGTATGTATGTGATGTGTATGATGAATCAATCAGAGGCCAAGAGTGTGCGTCTGCATCGTTCGTTCCTGGAGGAGTTTGCCAAGGTTGAGTGTGCCGTGCGGGGCATCGAGGCGGTGGTCAACACGCTGCAGGCGGCGTGTGACAAGTCAGCGGATGAGCTGCGGCACTCACGACTCAAGACCGAGGCCACTCTGGAGCAGGCCAACAGGCTGCGGGAGCAGCGGGCCACCCTGCAGCACAAGCAGAAGCTCCTGGACACATTCCTGATCAAGTTCAAGCTGTCCGACCAACAGATGGAGACCATCACCAACACAGACCTGCCCATCGACTCGCACTTCTTTGCCGCACTCCACAGCCTCGAGGCCATCCGCGACAACGCCCGTGTGCTCCTGGCGTCCAGTCGGCAGCACACGGCAGGCGTGGATGTGCTGCACGAGACATCCGAGATCTTGGAGGTGGCCTACGAGCGGCTCTTTGTGTGGGTGCAGCAGAAGTACCGCCTCATGGGCGCCATGAGCGGCCTGCAGGACGATACTGCAGGCCATGATGCCAGCCCCCTCCGCAGCATGCCCGACATTGACAACCACCGGGACGAGTCGCCCGAGGGCCGCCGGGCCACAGCCAACCAGGCGCATCCGGTGGACCAGGCCCATGAGAGCGTGGTCCTGCGCAAGGCGCTGAGGATCTTACGTGAGCGTCCGGTGTACTTCAACCACTGTGCGCGTGACATAGCCAAGGTGCGTCGGCATGTGCTCATCCAGCGGTTCCACACGGCACTCAGCAAGGGCGGGCCCGGCAGACCCATCGAGATGCACGCATACGACCCTGTCAGGTCAGTCAGCTAGCCAGGCAGGCAGGTAGCCAGTCGGTGAACGAACGGATGGGGCTCCCTCCCACCTAGGCCGGCAGTCACAAGAGGGATGTGTTGAGTTGGTTGTGCGTACGCGTGTGTGCCATGCATGCATGTCTGTCATGTGGTGTCAGGTATGTGGGTGACATGTTGGCGTGGATCCACCAGAGTGCAGCGTCTGAGATCCAGGAGGTGTCGTCTTTCTTCCAAATGAGCGACACCACTGACGACACCACCGACCAACCACACACAGAAGATAAGACCGCTGGTAGGGAGGGAGGGAGGGAGTGGGGGAGGGGAGGGAGGGAGTGGCGAGCGAAGGGAATGGTGTCATGTGAGGGGTCCAAGTCTGCGTGTTGGTGTCTGTCTGTCTGTGTGTGTGTGTGTGTGTGCATTGATTGCATTCATTGGTGGAGTAGATGAGCGGTCAGGGTTGTCCCACCCGCTGCCCTCCATCGATATCAATGCCATACTCGACACCGTCTTCGAGGGTAGGTAGGGTGCCTCACCCAGGGAGGGAGGGAGGGAGGGAAGCACACACCCCACTGCCAACGCCCACCAGCCGCCCCTTTCAGTGTGTGTGTGTCTGTCTCTCCTCTCTCTCTCTCTCTCTGTGTGTGTGTGTGTGTGTGTGTGAAGGGTTGGTGAATCCGTTTTCCATTCGTGTGGAGCAGGTGCTCTCGTCGCGGCCGTCCGCTGTGGCCCTGTACAAGGTGTCGCAGCTGCTGGACTTCTTCGCCAAGACACTCGAGCCCCTCATGATGATACACCCACCATCAGACACCACCGACCACAAGGACGATGGGGCCACGGCTGCCATTGACCATCAGCCTGCTGGGGGGGCAGTCAACGGCAAGGTCAAACATGAAGGCGGCACCACTGGTCCCACACACGTCCCCGTCTTCGTCAGGTACACACACCGCAGAGAGAGAGAGAGAGAGCTACATGGGGTGGCCAATGAATCAATAATCGAATGTACCTGCATCGGTCGCACGCACGATCGTGATGCGATGTGTTGTGCTGTGCAGGGTGTGTCAGGAGCTGCAGGCCAATGCCTTTGAGTGCTTCATGGCCCAGTGGGAGGCACAGGTGGCCACGGGCGAAGATTTATGCGTCCATCTTGCAACAAGTGAAAGACGTGTGGGGCGTGGCGTATGCCTGTCTGTCGTCCCTCAGGCGCTTCGTCTACACGAGTTGCCGTCGAGTGCCACGTACACGTCGTCATCGTCGGGATTCAGCGCACCAGCCTTCGTCGTTGACACGGTAGGAAGGAAGGTGGGTGCGTACCTCCCCAACCCTAACCCACCATAGTGACCTGCGTATACTCGTGTGATCCAATCGATGGTTGGTGCCCTCACTGCTGCTCTACCTGCCGTGCCGTGTGTGTATGGATGTCTGTCTGTCTGTCTGTCTGTCTGCAGGTGGGTACGTTGTGTGAGATCATGTGTGTGTACGAGGCGTCACTGGTAGAGAAGTGTGCGCGTGAGGTGGAGTTTGCGCCCATCCTGGATGCGTCCCTCAACCCCATCCTCAACTTCTGCCGCACACTCGCATCACACATGCCCGACGGCGGGGCAGCCGTATTCCTCATCAACTCATACTCATACATGCAGGTACACACACACCTACACACCTACGCAGGAAGGAAGGCAGGCAGGCAGGCGGGCAGGGAGGATGGCTGGATGGGAAGGAAGGACGCAGCGCTTTGTGCGGGTGTCTCTGTGTGTGGTGGCAGCTGCCGTTGACCAAGCATGACTTCACCGTTCGGTGGGTGGAGCTATTCGCCACTCTCATTGAGGAACAGGTGGTTCAAGAGGACTCACTGCACTGCAGCCACTTAGTGTCTGGTGCTGTCAATCAGTCCTGGATGCAATGCTTATCCTTCCTTGTCGGCGTGTGTGCGTGTGTGTAGATGAATGTATTAATAAGGGTGCAGACGGAGGAGGTATTGGACAAGATCGGATTCGCTGAGAGGCTCACTGACCTCAGAAACAAAGCCCCCGACGCACCTCTAGGTACCTAAGCATAGCATATGCTTACCTACCCATGTCGAATGCTCCGAATCGACTGGCTGGCCCTTTCGCCTGGCCTGCCTGCCTGCCTGCATGTGCCCTCCCTCCCTCTTTGCTTTTTTGTTTCAGAGTCGGTTCCGTCTTTGCACCCGATATCTCTGTCGTCGTGCCTTCGGAGCTTCTACACATCCCTCTTCACAATGGGCAGCTTCGTTCTGCCGCTGGTACACACACCTGACGTGATGTGCACGAGGGAGGAAAGAAACACTGCCTGGCTGGCTGGCTTCTTGCACGAAAGCTTTGCATGCTTGGCCGTGTGCCTTGTCAGGTCGAGAAAATATCGTCACGCGGCCTGCGGTCGGAGGCCAGGTGAGTGAGGGAGGGAGGTCAGACAGACAGACATGCGTGGACGAGCAGGAAAGCAACTAGTTGAATCAGTGAATCAGTCAGCGGGGTCGTCTCATCCATCTAAATGGATGTGGATGTGTGTGTGTGTGCAGGCAGGGTGTGTCCCGGCGTATAGCTGATGCGTATGAGGAGTTGTACCGCGGGGTGGAGAGCCTCGGGATATGCGCACACAAGCCAGAAGAGATCAGCCTGCTACTCTGAATGGTGACCTGACCCACTCTCACAACTATACATACATCACGAACTAGTGGGAGGGAGGGTGCGGTGCATCCATGCCTGGCTGGCTGGCTGGGTAGGGAGGGAGGGAAGGAGCTAGGGAGCTAGGGAGGGATGTGGGGACCTTCAGGAGTGATGCCAACAAAATGCATGCACTTGAGTACCGATTTAAGCAATTGAGGGCCGAGTGGTGGGTGGAGGCTGTGATTGAATGGATCATGTGTGTCGTGTATGCTATGTACAAGACGAGATAGATGACAGAGATGAGCAGAAGACTCGGGCAATTCGATCGAGTGTCCTTGAATGCATTGGACTCTATGTATGAGTGAATTCAGACATACATAGATTTCCTCACGACAACCAACCAACCAGCGTACACACCAGTGGTCGGTCATTCCTGCCTGGTAAATGCAACGCACCGACTGTACAGTCAGTACAACCAGCCACCCGGTGCACGGGGGTGTGGTGTTATATATTCATGTGAGTGCGCCAGGCAGCCGCACCACGATGTGTAGGCACTGGTCGCAGTAGAGCCCATACAGCGCCAGCCACCTCACAGAGCAATCCAGCGACGCACACACGCCATGAACCAACACCTAATTCATACAGACATCAACCACACGACACAACATACCCCACACACACACGAATCAATGGAGGGAGCACGGCGCACGCAGGCCGGCAGGCACAGCCGCCGTATACAGCTGTGCACGTGTGTAGAATGTGTATGTACCTGTGCGCGGGGTAGTGTGTCGTCATGTGAGTCTTCGCACATGTCGGCCACCTCTTGAGGCAGCACGCTTCGCAGCAAACACCGCACACTGGTCAGGGAGCTAGATGCTGCACACAGGCAGCCAGTCGCAAACCACACACACAAACAGAGTGCATGCAGATGGATACACCGACCACCTGTCAGTAAGTCAGTCAGTCAGTCTGTCAAGACCTACCTGGTTCGAATGCACGCAGCAGCTGCAGATGGGGAGGGCCGTACACATGCAACCGAATTGACACACTCCTAACGCACACACACACACGCACACACTCACACACACAGACAATCGCTGCCCTTCCTGACTGCACAGCAAGGCTGATTCCCCCGTCTCTGCTTGAGTGCGTGTCTGTGTGTATGTCTGACTTGATGTCAGCGATGGCTGAGCATGTGAGGTCCACCCGCCTCGCTATTGACCAAAAGTCATCCACACGACCTGACGGTCACACCCACACCACATCCACACAGTCACATTTCTCACACAGCGCGGCCCCATGAGCATGTTTAAGTCACCTTCGACAACGGCGTCCATGAGGTCTGTTTGGTCGCTCTTGGACAGACTGGCAAACCGAACCGACGTGCCGTGAAGCAGGAACAAACTCTACACAGATACCCAAAGTTGATTGACACTTTTCCCCTGGGTGGCCCCGCTGGCCAGCCATTCATTGACTGACCGACCGACCTGTTTGAGTGTATTTAGGAAGCGTATCTTGAAGCTGTTGACCGCACTGCTCTGCAATTGGAGCGACAGGAGAAACGTGTGTCTGCTGGTCGGTGTACTGACTGACTGACTGATTTGGTGGGCTCACCCCGGTCATAGGGATGGGTTTGGGCACGTGTCGTCTGATATGTTCGGGTAGGTGTTCGATGTGCTGCTCGGGTGTACCGCTGCTGAAGTGCACTGTCAGCTGCCACGGCACACGCGGATGGCCACCGAACAAGGCATCGAACAACACACCCACCGGCAGATGCCTACACAAGACACACGCACACACACACACACACACACACACGCAGCACACATAAGCCGTGTGTGACTATCAAGGAGCCCCATTTGCACCCCTCTGTCTTTCCCTTCCCGGATGTTGTTGGTATCCGGAGCTCGTACCACTGTAAGGGTATGTTGTCGTGTTCGAGCCAGAGGTTTCGGCCGTTGTGTGAGAGGGAGTCGGGGAGGATGTAGCTCTTGTAGTGATCGTAGATGTCACCATACAGCACCGGCAAGTACGACAGGCGCGACACCAGCTTCTGAACGAACGGCCATACAGATTTGATAGACACAATCACATCACGTCAGGACGCAAGTGGTCCTGTTCCCTCCATCGTCCCGTCCCATGACTCACGAAATATGGTGTAGGGACGCGTAGGCTCGACAGGTCGGTCTCATGCAGCCTCACCTGCATACACCATTCGCAGCCACCGTCACCCAGATCTCTGTCCCAGATCTCATTCATGTGCCTGCATTCATTCACCTGAACAAGAATGCACCCTCGATTCACTGCCTCGTCCGGAAGCGCGGTCATTTCCTTTTTGAATCTCCTTTTTGCCTTCAGCGTTGTGCGCGCTTTTGAGCTCGCCGTTCAGCCACGGCTTTCTTTCTCGAGAGCGATGAATCCTTTACTGGAAGCGCAGCAGACAGCCAAACAGGCGGGGGTCCATGGCGTACACCACCCGGGATTCTATGATGAGCAGTCGATGGGGCAATCTCTCCTGCTCCTTTCAAGCCACTCAATGGCGCGTGTCCAGGAAGTCCTCGCGGTGCCCCAGTAGCTAGACAGACTACCACAGAAAGCGCCCTTACGGCATCGACTCTTGTGTGTGTCAGGAATGCCAAGAGCATGTCAAGACACGCCGAATGCAAACAAACATCAACGACATTCAAAACGGTACACATATCACGTTTCCCTCACGTCGGCACATCCTCAACATGTTGATGTCTCCATTTTTTCGTGCCTTGTGTGCGCAGCCGTGATAATTCAGGCGTTAAAGCACCAAAGTGTCGTGTGGGAGTTGAAGTACAAAGTTTGTAATTGAGCTCCCAGCTGAACATGAGCGAATAGGAAGCAAAGTCGCGTCTGGCTCTGTGCTGTCAGGTGATTGCTCATTCCTATGCGCGTCTCAAGAGGGATGCCCTGATCAGGGATGCGCTGCGCAGTGCAGCGGCTGCAAAGGCAGTGCCAGCCACCCGAGACGAAAGGGCAGGGACGACTCACTTCGATGCCAAACGGGTGCGGCGTGACAGATTCGATTTCAGGCTGAGATTGTCGTTGGTGTGTGTGGTCTCAGGTTACTGAGGAGCCGGTATTAGGGGCCCCTCACATGGACGAGCAGGGCATCACAACGACGGGCCGGGTGGCCGAGAGGGGCCCTACCAGCAGCCAGGCAGCTGAGAACGCGTCAGAAAGAGCAGTCACGGACGACACACAAGGCCCGGAAGGCACTCGAAATGGTGGTGGTACGGACGACACGAGCACAAAGGTATGCTTCCGACCGACTGGAAGAACCATAAGAGACATCACAGATCAACCGCCCACTTATGTGTCTCCTCATGCTGGCTGTTCTCCGCAGGCCGCGGAGGAGGCTAGAGCAAGGGACATAGCGGCTTGGCCGACGGGCATGGAGGAGCCCCCAGCCACAACCGCAGCCTCAGCGTACGGTCAGCCGATGGAAGCCGCCGCTGCCTTGACAGATGGGGTCCAGCAAATGGAGCCACCACCGCCCGAGCCCTTCCCTGTCCTGGATGGACCGTTCCGGCCGCCAGGTGCCAGTAAAGATGGGAGTGGTCCATTCAAAGAAGCTGCACCGCCTGTTTCTTTGGACGAGAGGGCAAGAAAGATGGGTGGCACAGCTGAGTCTCCGGAGCTCCGCCGTCAGGTGGATGAATGGCGAGAGCTGGCCCTTTTGAATCTCATGAACGAAAGAACGCCGCATTGGCTGGAGGCCTATCTTGATTTCTTTGACGGTGCATTGCAGACAGATGAGTGAGTGTATCGACAATGAGTATTAGATCTGGGCAGGGGCACGGTCATGGGGGAGAAGCTTTCGTGCCGCGGAAACCCTTTTGGGTTGCGGCTTTTCTCTCGCACTATCTAACTGAGGAACAAGTAGAAGCGCCGTGAGACTTCGTGGCGCTAGGGAAGCTCTGTATCAAGGAAACAGCTATCTGCATCGAGAACCACGCACCGAGACACGCACTACATAGGCCGGTCAAAGGGGATGTTGTCCCCTCTGTGTGTGTGCGTGTGTGTGTGTGCGTGTGCTTGAGACCTCATGGCAACGTGGCACTGTTCGTAAACGAACTCATGTTCGCGACGTATCTGGTCTGTCTCCGTCTTAAACAATGGGTGTCAGCCAGTCAGACACTCACAAACACACACACATGCATGTTCGGATGCGACACCAGCCAGACAAGCCAGACCAAGAGAAGGAGGGTCACTGGGGGATCCATCTGCGGTAAGTGGTCGTGTGGGTGGACCAATGTGCACGAACGACCGTGTGGTGTGTCTCTGTGTGTGTCGTGTGTTTGCGAGGCAGCCGGCCGGCCTTTCTCTCCTCTGGATCCCTCACTTCTCATTCAGTCCGACATGAAGTGACTGACAGGCAGACATCCAGCCAGTCGTCAAAAACACAGACACGCACACACACATGACATCATCCAGCCAACCAGCCTATTTACAAAGCAGCACACGCCGTCAAAACACACGCTCGCACGCATCCAGGCAGAAGAGAGGACGCAGGACAGCCATGCCATCCGTGGGCCATGTGTAGTGTTCATGTGATGTCGTCGTATGTATGTGTATGTGTGTGCCCCGCCCGCGTATGAATTCCCCCTTGTCTAGACTAGAATTCAGGCGGGGGGGGGGGGGGG